AAAAAAAAAAAAAAAAGAGGGAAACGAAGTGGCAGCTCTCGCTGTCATCTGTCTGGCTCAAGGTTTCCAGGATGGGAAGACAGAAGGCGGCAGAGGCCAGCAGAGTGAACAGGATGGACACAGGAGGCAGAGATGTAAGACCAGGGAAGGGAGGGCAGCAGCAAGATGGCACACAACTGCTGGGGCCCCACCAGCTGGTGCTGCACCTTATGGCCTCCCTCTCCCCTTACAGAGCTCTTCACACCACACACTTGGGGCCAGGCACCAAGAATGGGTCAGGCAGATGGAGACACTGCACTCTCAAGCTCAAAATCCAAAAGAGAAATTAGTAATCAAAAAGTCTCGGATGAAAAGCAGTCTAGAGCCAGGGACTGGCTGTACAGCACAGGAGCCCCACAGGCCGCCTCACACCAGTGTCTGCATCATGAATGCAGGGGGCCACAGTCAATCCTGGCAGGATCTTGCTCTCTGGATCAAAGGAAAGACACCTTTTCTCGGGTTTAAATCAACCTCCGGGAAGCTATGCTGAGAAAAGCCAAGTCACAACCAAGTCCAAGGGAGAGAGACCAGTAGCGTGAGTTAAGAAGGATGGAGCGTGTTACGAAGGAACAGAAGGAATCTGTGTGGTGATGAAGTGCACAGGATGGTGTGGTGGTTCAGACACAAAAGCTGATGCAGGTGACTAAGCCTGAACATACGCAGAAGAGTACAAGCCAAGCCAGGAAGCCTCTGTTCAACAGGGACTAGGCAGGTACCAGGCATGCTATGTCCACGTCACTATCCCAGTGTGAAACCCTACAGAGTCAGGGCAAAATATCACAGTTGGGAAAGCAGCAACCTATACCTGGGATCACTCAACTACTTCTTACAGCTGTGTTCAAGCCTACATCACCCTGACAAAAAAAATCTTAATCAGTTGAAAACAAAGAGAAGGAGACTAGAGAGAAGGCCAGCAGTTAAGCATTTTTAAGACTTTCAAAGAGGTTGGTGGCGTCACACATCTTTAATCCCAGCCATCGGGAGGCAGAGGCAGGCGGATCCCTGGGACTTGTTGAGCCAGTAAGCTGACTTGGTCAGCTTCTGATTCCACAGATCCTGTCTCAAAAATAAGGTGGAGGAGGTGAGCTGGCTCAGCAGGCAAAGGCCAAGCCTGAAAGCCTAAGTTCAACCACCAGAACTCACATGGTCAAAGGAGAGCCTGGAGAGAATGACTCTTGCATTTGTCCCTGAACACACACACACACACACACACACACACACACACACACACACACA